TTAGCGGAAATTCAAACCGTTTCCCTAATGACGTTTGCCAAATCAGTGAAATAAACGACCGAATTATCAGATAATACCTGCCGTGAGTATTGCCGCATTCACCATCGGGAGGCGCTATAATCACTCTAGTAGGAGAATTTTGCTTTCACCATCCAAAATAAATAAACTTATCCAACATGTGCGCCCGATAGCTTCGCCCCTTCCGCTACGTAAGCAAACCTGCGGTCGTTGAGTGCGTGAAGTGGCCATCATTCCACACTTCATTTTACCGGATGAATGAGTGCATCATCCAGGTAATTAAAGTGCACTTATGATTTTTTAGAGTTTTCAGTGTACTTACTATTTATACAACAAAATGGCGTAGAAGAGTGCATAAGTATGCAATTCGGGACGCAGCTCATGTGTGCCTGTGTATACTATGAACTATCTGTAACACAAGAAGCGCATGTGCGCGGGCTGATGTTTATTTTTCTTTTTCTCTCATGCTCGGATTAAGTTATTTTCTGTGGTGACGCTGGTGACAGAATAAAGCACAAAATGTGGGAGGAGACCAGTGTGAGCCTGTATTGAATTTTATTTGCTGCTACACACCAGGGGAGCTCTTGCTGTAACATTTTTTTTTAAAATCAACTTGTTACACGATGTCTTTCACACATATCTGAAATATGCCTGTGTAAGTAACATTAATCGTTCACATATCTTTTACGAATTCATTATCTGAGATGTTAAACGCATGGAAAAGCTGCCTATAGAGAGAAACAATAGAAAGTCGCGCGCACACATAGAAAGAGAACCTGCACGTGCCTGTGAAGTGTGTGTGTGTTTATAGCAGTTTGACTGATAAATATGGATTTGTAGCTAAATCGTTAGCAGTGGCAAACATCATTTCCCGTTGTTTGCATCTTTGCTACAGCATACCGTTAAGGCTAGACACTGTACATGTCATGATCAGTTTTAACAAAACACTTACAGGTCGTGGCTCATAGTTCACAGTGTCTGCTTGGAGCAGCTCCTTCTTTAAGGAGGTTTTAACCGAATCCAGCAGTGTGTGCGCAGTAAACAAACCTTTGTGATCTCACAAGGGTCAGAAGTATTTTTGTAGTCCCCAAAATTCGTTCATTGTAGGCTTTACGAAGCAAACTCTGTAAAAACTAAGGTCTCCCTTAGCATTAAAATGAGCATTTAACATTCAGAGATGTTGTTTATGTTCACACAGCTACATTACACATCAACTAATGTTTATGATATCATAGTGGACCACCCCTTTATTAGCCTGATCTCACGAGAAAAACGCAAGTATTTTACGTTGTCAGTTTAGTGGTTAATTTGCACAAATTCCTACGAGTGCAGGCTTATGAAAATGTACGATTTTAAAAAGGAGGGGTGGCACCAAACCCCACCCCTAACCCCAACCGTCTTTGGGTGAGAAGCAAATCGTACTAAATTATACAAATTAGTTTGTACGAATTTATACAAATTAGCCACTAAATCAACGAATTGCTGTGAGATTGTGTTGGTTTAATCCACATAAATCTGTAAAAAGTGTAAAGTTAACTTAATCGATTTCTGTTGGGACTACATGAATAAATTGTGTGGAATCTCTTGATTGTGAAAATTGCTACCATCTCTTAAAAGTCTTATACTTCAAATTTTTTTGCAATTGAAATCTTTAGTACTCAATAGAAAATCATGATTTCTGAAAAAAAAAAAAAAAAAAAATCTTCTGTTTTAGTCATTTTCCAATTTTTTTTTCAGTTGTACTATATATATATATAATATATATATATAATATATATATATATATATATAATATATATAATATAATATAATATAATATAATATAATATATATATATATATATATATATATATATATAAACATCTAAAAAAAAGTTTTCTGTTCTTGCTGCCATAAAACCTGAGCTTGGAGTTTATGACCAGTCTGTAGCTTGAGTTATTATGAAATATTTTTGTCTCATACTGATTGTCAAAGTTTGTAATTAACTATAAAGAGCACCTGCAGATCAGCTACTGGCATTTTAAATAGCCAATGAAGTTTTATAGGTTTCGCCACTACTTACTTTCCTCTCAACTTATTTAAACTTGCTCCTAAATCTAACTCTGCTATTTGTTTGTTACATTTAATGCATTATTCTCATACATGCTCCAAGCATTGATCAAGCATTGATACATTTTCTGAGAAAAATTAAGAAAGCACCAATCAAAGGCAGCATTTTTATGATGTCATCATTTAGACTTCTTATAAAGTATTTTACAGTATTTTAAAAATACAAAAATATAAGACAAGTATTTTGATACAAAATATTAACCCATTTTCATCAACTCTATCAAATACAAATGACTAAATATTATTTTGTATTTAAAATGTTTTTTTTTTTTTTTTTTTTAAATACTTCATAATCATAAACACTGCCCATCCCAGATTATTATTATTCATGTCTTAGAAGTTCTGGTTATTTAAAACTTCAGTATAATGTATTTATTGCATTTAGCAATCACTAGAGGTTAAAGATACTGTAGGGAAAATAAAGCAATTTCTTCTTAAGGAATTATAAATGCAGAGAAATTGTATTATTGATGGGTCTTCGATTATTTCTTTTTTTACTGTGCGGGGCCTCAAAGTTAAAAAGCATGAGAATCACTAGACCAGAGTAGGCCTATGCAATTTTCTTCAAAACCACATATACACAGATGAATCATTCACAATAAGACCAAGGGAAGGCATTCAGAAAGAAAATAAGGTCAATTTTGATTTCATGTTGATATTACGTCTGCACCCAGAGACGTGGGACTACATCCGGCCTTGAATACAAACCCACACAATTACTCTGGTTTCCTGGGCATGAGCATTACCCTGTGCTCCTCCACACTACGGTAACTCCTGTAAACAAACTGAATGGTGACTCATCTACTGCACAGGGCATCTAATATGGCTGCTGATTAATCTATTGTTGCACAAAGCAGTTGGTGTAACATGCTGGAGGAGGATCACAGACACTGTCGCACGCTGTATCATGATCAACAGCACAGATGGCCTGTACTCAAATGAATAGCTGAAATGTCAGTTCTGCTTGATATGGTCATTTTTGGTGCAACTATTCGCTTACGTCTGCTGTCACGGGTCACAGATTGAGAGTTTAAATTGTTTTACATTGTTTAAAAAAACAAATAAAAATAAAAATGTTGTTCCAACACAAATCGAATAAGTTAGCTTATTTAGAAATTTAGATTGATTGAACAAAATTAAGTTGTCCCCCTAAAAAACTTGAGAATTGTTTCACAACATATTTTAAGTAGTTTGAACAAGCACAAAAATCACATCAGATGCCAAAAGGAAACTACATATAAATGGGTACTAATATAAATTCACAGTGTGCTTTAATACTAACATGACAGTAATGTTTATATCCATTCCTATATTTTATTATATTAGTGTCTGGGATACAGCAAGTTCAGAGACTGTAATGATTATTTTGTAAAATATTGACTTTAATGTGTGAAAGTCAGCTACTGAGGTTGGGTTACTCCATTTAAATGAGGCTTGAACCCAGAAATAGGGTTCTAACCTGTATATTCCATACAAAAAAATGAAGAATGTTCAGTGTTCTAAAAGGCTGTAGCTCTCACAGAAGAAAAAATTATTCCAGTTAGCCATAATGTTTCTGGGTTTTCGAAGTAGCCCTGCATAAGCTTTCAGTGGAGGAACAAAAACTTTTCAATTTTCTTTTCAATTTCAATATTAAATGTCATTAATTGTGTTCCGAGGATGAATGGAAATCTTATTGGCTTGAGGATAAGCAATTTATGACAATGTATTATTTTTATTTATGCGGAGTGAACGGTCCTTTTAAGACGGGAACTTGACCCCACCTACTGGTGGTTTAGTGTATTTATCTAATGACAGGATTAAATTAGGCTTTGCACAAAAACACTCACCAAAAAAAAAAAAGAAAAAAAATATTATGGAAGTCAGGTTACTAGTTTCCGCCTTCATTAAACTGTGTGTTTAACAAAAGAAAGGTGCGAAAAAATTAAAGTTGCGTAAATGACCATTACATTTTTTTGGGTGAACTATCCCTTTAAACATGTAGGCTAAATGCTAATGTTTTAGAGTCCGGGAAAATACTGCAGTTCAGGCCCCGACTGACAGCAATTACACGGTGTCATTATAGGCTGTTGGTGGCTCAAAAATTCATCAACTTCCTCTTCCTCAAATTAGGCCTATCAGTAGTTATTTTTGTTGGTCATAATCCATACTGTAGGCTTTAGGCCCTACTTTATATCAAAGTTATGATATTGATAAGAATTGTTATTATGGTTCTAGCATTGTTTAACGGCAAATAAAAAGTTCTTGTCATTTTATTTCCATTTTCTTAACTTTGGCAAATAAGATTGCAAAGTTGTTTGGTTCATTGTTCACTCTCAGCAAAACAATAATTAAAATTACACGTAAAAATAATGTAACGTTAACTAAAAATATCAATATAAAAACAAAATTCAAGAAGCATGAAAAAAATCATACTTACCCAAGAAAGAAACATTTCTTATCAATTAATCTAAAGTTTAATTAAATTACACAAGTCTATAAAATTGGAATTTTACGCAACTTTAAAATTTGTTTGTAAAACTAAAATTTCCCAGCTAGCCAAACAAATTTCTCGGTGACTTCTAAATCTAATTACGACTTTTGGTTTTCAAAATAACAAAACATTCTTAAAGTGCAAATTACCATTCATATGACCCTTGGAAAAGCAGCATGAACTTAAATCATTCCAAAACAATGATGATACATTCCATGGGGAAAAAACCCGTGACAAACGATCACACTCATTTTTACAAAAGGTGCAAATATCAGTAACATTCCAATATTTGGACTATCATCCCACATCCCAGTTTAACCCTGTACCTGACGTCACACCTCACATATCCAATCAGATGTTTGCTGCTTCCTGTGCAGAATGAGATCTCGCGATGCTGTGGTGGAATCATCCAGAGTGAGTTCAACGCCAGACAGGGAAGGTAGTTTGTGGTTCGGCAATAAAATAGCGGCCCTTTGGGTGAGCTAATCTGAAAACTGGACTAACTGATCAAAGATGACGAGTGAGTATATAAACTGATCTCACTTGAGTCATTATAGCAGTATTTAGATGGACAAACGTTATGAAGCATTTGGGATTGACCGATTCAATTTTAAACTTAATGGTTAACAGTTTAAAGTTACCGTTAGTTAATGAATGCAGCTGTTTTCCACAGAGTTCAGCACATCTGAATATGTTATAGGTGCCATTTCGTTGTGTACATGTTAGTGTCACCATAATACAGCGCACACACCCCTTTCAGCTTTGACAGAGCTAGTCGTATTAAGTGTATATTGCATTCATTTCTCTTATTAAATCTTTGGAAACAAAAAGGTTGAGATCCATTATGATTAGGCGTTATTAAAATACGTTTTTAGCATATTGTGTGCCATGTGTATGTTAAGCCATGGTATGTTGTTAGTGATAACAATGTTCGAGCAAAGAGGCAAACAGAACACCACCTGTTTTAATCAACACAATATGTAGGCTAGTTGTGGGTCGGTCCAAAATTAAATACTGCTATATTGTTATTCGAATTAAATTATTTTATAAATAAAATCGTTATATTGTGTAACCAATTAGCACTGCATGATATTGAAAAAAGTTTTTGGAACAAAGATATTGGAAAAGACATTGCCATTTTTTTTCTCTGGAATACATATTGCAAAGGTAGTTAGTCAAAATTATTAGCGCCTCAGATTTTTTTTCCCCTTTTCTAAATATTTCCTAAATGTGTAACAGAGCAAGGACATTTTCACAGTATGTCTGATAATTTCTTTCTTTCTTTTGATAAAGTCTTTCGTTTAATTTTGACCAGAATAAAAGCAGTTTTTAATAATAATAAAAAAACCTAATAATTCTGATTTCAACTGTATAGGATAATGTAATATATTGCGATAAAGTTTAACCAAATGACTAACCCTTTTTGTAAAAACTTTAGATTGATTGCAATGATTTTATAGGTGTGAAATAAATATTTGAAATAACAATACAATCAAACAATGGAGCAAATTATTAAGTGAAATAATGATTTATGGTTTCCTGTGGACAGTCTAACAGTATTTGTTTACAGATAGTGAAAATTCAAATGTAAATTAATGCCTGTATAGCATATAGTTAAAAGAAATAGTCTTCATAAAGATTTTCAATAAAATTCATCTTTAAATTTAACTTTATGCTCTTAAAAGGTTTATATGGGCACTGGCCTTAAAACCCCTGCAGACAATTAACATTCATTCTATTGTCCTTAAATTCTCTGTCTAGAGAAAATATCTATGCTCAAACAATATATTGTGTAGCCCTACAACCAAAAGTTAAATTTAAGTTTAACACAAAATGCTCCTTGAAATATGACCAATACAAATGTAAATGATTTCACAGCATGTTGAATTACAATAACTAATTCCATGTCTTAAAAAAAAAAAAAAAAAAAAAAAATAGAAGTAAAAACATGTTATGAAGACTAAAAGATATGGTCCAGTCAGACCAGATAACTTAAACATTATCTTCTTTTAGGGGGAAATCAGCGTGAACTTGCTCGCCAAAAGAATGTCAAAAAACACAGTGATATGCAAAAGGGCAAGAGAAATGACGACGGTTTATCTGCTGCTGCCAGGAAGCAGAGGTAAGCTGTAATGCACGTCTAACTTAAACTAGATACAGTTATGGGACATTTAACGCCACTTTCATACATTATTTTTCTTTATAGAGATGCAGAAATAATGCAACAGAAGCAAAAGAAAGCCCACGAAAAAGGGGATTCTAAAGCCAAACAGTAGATGTCAACAAACCCTCTGGACAGATCCAAGCCATCTTATTTATGAATGCCATAAGTCTATAGTGGGGTTTTGGTCTCAATTCAGAAGCCCCTTTGTTGGTACTTTCCATTGTATTGCACCGGTTTGAGACATGTACACAGTAAAAGTGTAAATTGACCTACTTTTCTTGATCAGTATTTACCATGTAAAGAAACAAGAACAAAATACATATTGGAACCACATACACTTGCATTTTTAAATCTCATTCCTTATTAATATCAACTTAAAATTGTTAAATAAATGTCGCTCAAATCAGAGTTTGTTCTAAAGCAGTGTTCTTTGTGCTGCCTAATAAAGACTTCCAGACCTTGGATTTGGATTTAAATGTAAAAGTTTTATTTGTAAATCTGTCACAATAACTACAACATATAAATAATAAAACAAAAACAAAAAACAAACACTGAACCCTGAAGTGATTTGATCATTTGTAGGCAAATGCACAAGTATACATTTGATCAGTGTGCTTTTAAAAAAACAAAAACAAAATGCAAATGAAACATCCAAAGCTGTATAAAATGGCTTAAAATTTACAATTAATAAAACAAATAATATATTATAAACTTTTTTTTTCTAATAAAAAGGACTTGATTTCACAAAGTGCAATACTTATTTTAAAAAAAATTATAATAAATTGTTAGCTTAACTAAGCACTGACACTAAAATAAAAGACAAGTAAACAAACAAGACTTAAACTCCACAGCAGTTGCTCAGGGTCTTCCTCCGTTTGTGAAGACTCAGCTTGACCTGTGACTCTGACCTCCGGCCCAGTTTAACATGTTTCTTTACTTCTCTGTAATGATGAGGATTCAGAAGACATTAAAAACCTTTAGATTTTAAAGCGTTGTAATAGGGCTTTCTACACTGAGCTTACCCTGGGACAAACACATACTTTTGGAAAGCAAGGAAACTTGGCACAAAAATTAAGCAGTACTTCAATTAATTTTTAATTCAGTTTAATATTTGTTTTATAGCCTATAGCCAGGTGCATCATGGGAAATGGTTATGAGTTAGTTTGTGTTATATTAGTTAGTTAGTGTTATTAGTTAGTTAAAATACATGGATTGTTGTGTTAATTACTATGCGTTTATTGGCTTCTGTGATTTAGGGCCCAATATTAGGCCTGCCACGATAAGTCACTTTTGTTATCGCGATAATTTCTATGACAATATACCGCGCAAGTATTATTATTGTCATTTTAAGACCATTTTATAAACAGACTAAAATGTAAAATTGCTGATTATATAACAGCATATAAATAGTCAAACACATTCAAGGGTGAAAAACATGTTTGTTTTTAAAGGAAAAAAAAAAAAAAAAAAAAAATCACCTATTACCCTTCATTGCACCTTATCGGTTCAGTAATAAATGTTAGATAGATAGTAGTAGATGAATAGATGAAAAATAGCTGTTCTTTAGTGACCGCGTCACTGGCTCTTACGATCATCCCTGTTCACCAAGCAATTACAGTTATTTCCATTGAGCGAGTGAACAATGGCCAATCATAAGTGTCAAAGGTCTCACCAGTGCTCAAAAACTAAACGGGATTATATTAGAAAACATTGTTTGTAGAAAGAGTTGAACCCGTATACCTCCAATGACGATTAGATGACAGAAGCTGCGCAATCAGCAAAAACTTAGAAGAAATTTCATTTAAAAAAGTTAAATCATGATGGATGATATACATTGCGCCATCATAAATGATTGAAGTCATGTAAACGTATTGCAAGATATGCCGATAAATTGATTGTATCAGGCCTACATATTATTTGATTTACAAAATATTAACCATCACCATCAACAAGGGTAGCACCCTTGTGGTGTGGCCCCATTAGAGGCTGTTCATGTTCTGAGCTCAGAATAAAAAGGTTAACTGACCAGTGCTGCCTCCCAGGTTATATTAAATTGTTCTCATAGAGATAGAAAATATTAAGGCAACTTATTTATTTTTCATTGGTTCAATTGAAAATTTAAATGTGAACCATTAACCTAAATGTTTTAAATTGGATGAATGATTATACACTGGAAATAAAAGCTTACATTCATTTCAGAATTTGAAAAGAAAGCAAAGCGGAAGTTCTTTTAAGCTACATGGCTGTAATAGATTGTTGATTGCTTTGTAAGGTTAGAGCAGTGTTTCTCAACCACGTTACTGGAGGACCACTAGCTCTGCACATTTTCCAGGTCTCCTTAAATCAAACGCCTGATTCAGAGCATCAGCAGAGACTGAAATACCTATAATAGTTGTGACAGACAAAGGAGTCATCCAAAACATGCAGTGCTGTGGTCCTCCAGGAACGTGATTGAGAAACACTATAGGTCATGTAACAAGTTAACTGATCACATGCTGCCTTACATTTTCTTTTTTTCCCCCCACACCATGTCCGTTTCTATTGTCATTTTCAAGGCGAGAAATTGTTAAATGTTTTTTTTTTTGTTTTTTGTTTTTTGCCATTTATTTGTGAAAATTTCCAACTTTGGCTCAGATCCACTAAAAATAGCTTTAAGTGTTAACCGAACAAAAAACGGAAAAGCTGACAATCTAATACAACTGCTCCATAGATAGAGATTTGACAAAGAACACATTGGAGGTTCTTCTAGTATTAAAGTTTAATTACCTATTCTGGAGTACGTTTAAACAATCTGATCCCACTTGGTGAAAAACTGACGAAGATTACATTATCTAATATGAGATCTAATTTGTACAAATCACACTTCTACAGGTAAAACAAAGACGGTTTAATTTTTACCCAGATAAGTTGACTTGGTTTGAGCCACTAAATTTTCAGGCTCAAAATGGAGGGTTTGTTTAGCCAACATTCGCAGTAGCTTGTGCTAGAGTACATGGCTAACCTGTTCTAGAGCAGGTTTTACACTGGATTACAGATCGCAAACCCAAACTTTACCAATCAGCTGTGACTAAAGCAACATGTAAATATCTGATTCAACAAAGCCACTCCCAGTGCCATATGTCTGTTTAAAAGGTTTCAATTTGGAGCAAAAAAATAGTGTGTTTAGTCAAAATAGAATTTGCTGTTAACAGTTTAGTATATGAATTTATATATTTACATATGACCATTATTAGAATATTTGACCATTCAAAACTGTATTAAAACAAACTTGTTTAAATGTAAAGCTTTTAAAATGATCGCCTTTGTGTGAACTCATGCTATATTTTCTCATTTCAGTTGATTGATTTGCATTGATAATTTCTTTACATTGCCTTCTCAAACATATGCTCCATCAGCAGCTTACATACAGCACAGATATTCAAATAAACCCAGGGTTTCAGATTATACACTCTGAAACAGAGTAATTTCAAAATGATGTGATACATGAAGCAGGATACCCAGGGATGTGGTCTCAAGTGTGAAAAGCCCTCGGTTTATGAAGTGTTAGGTATCTTACCTTGCTAAATGTAAAACTGCCTCAATGACGTTTGTCCCCTCTTTAGCACTTGCCTCGCAGAACAGGGCATTATAATTCTGTTATAAACAATAGCCATTACTATTGACACAATGTTTATTATGCTCTTCACAAACAAATCTAAGTCAAAACTGACCATTGCAAGCTTTTCTCCATGGATAGAGCTCACACAGCTTCCCTCTGGCCTCGCTGCCCTCAGATCCACCTTGTTCCCTATTATACACATTGGGATGTCTTCATCTGTTGACTCCTGTGCGAAAAGTGCACACATTTAGGTCATGTAAAAACTCGAGCTGCATTTGTTTTTCAGTTTTAAACACCTTTAGTTTAGTAATTTACAGCAATTAACATTTACTGTAGCATCCAAATGAGCAAGACGTTTCTAAAATGTCAATCACTTCAAATGTCATGCTCTGTTCACACAACAATAATGGGATTCACTCTTTAAATTTAAATATGGTGGTCATTCTGGAACTGCACAATATGTGTGATGATTAACCGATTTCACTATTAACCGCCCTTTAATTCATTACACTTAATCGTAAAGGCTTTAACCTGGAATACACCGACTCATCAACACTGGTGCTAATTTAAAGCTCCAAGCTTGTACACCAAGGCTAATATGCACACACACTGTATTATGGCTGAGGCTAGCAGCATGAAGGGCCCATTCACAAATTGCGTCTTATCCATGCACAAGTTCATTATTTCTAATATAGGAGCCAGTCTTGTGCACATATATTGGGAGCAACATACACTCGTTCCAGACGTACCAACACACATTCTCTTTAATAGGGAAATACTTATAGAATTCCTATATAAATACTAATATGTAGCTTAGATTTACATTTGAAAAATGCTGTTTTTTTTACTGGTTCTTTTTAATTTATTCATTGTTCTGCAATTTATTTTCAGTGTAAAATGACTTGTTTAAATATCAAAATCCTTTTAAATCCAAAGAGAAAGACTGAAGTTTGTTTTTATTATTATTTTGTGCTGTATTATTTAGTTACAGGGCAGCAAAAAAAAAAAAAAAAAAATAGTTGTGATTTTCTATCTTTTCTATCTTTGTTTAGCGTTTTGAAACAAATAAATGCATAACCATGAAGCCACCACGATTATTCCTCAGACTATAATCATGCAACAAATCTATAATCGTTGCATTCCCAACAACAATTAATGTAAAATAGGTGTAAAGACATTAAATTGGTGTTACTGTACCCGGATCTGTTCCACCCATTCACGGACATTCAGGAAACTGCTTTCAGATGTGACATCATACAGTAGTAACACTCCATGTGCTTTGCGGAAATATGACCTGGCAATGCTGCGGAATCTGAAACAGAATCAACTATTTATTAAATCAGTTTGGGGTTGTTCTTTTTTCTTTGAGTTTAGACAAAATTCATGATATTATATTATTATTATTTATACAAAAGTGATTGTAAAATAAGTGGAACTAATTTTTTTAGCCTTATCAAAAAGGGGACATTTTCCAAATTTTGAAATGCAAGGCATGATACAACTAGCAAGGGAAATGCCCTTGTTTAAACTATGCATGTACCCAATTGGTTAGGCATAGGGCGATAACTGTTTTCAAGGTATACCGCTGTTTGGAAAAGTAGAGGTTTTAAAACAGTAAAAAAAAAAATCCCATTCTCAAGGTATGTGTAAGCATTTTTATTTGTTTTTTTTAAGGACCACAGTATCTTTCAGCAGAAAATATCTAAAGTATGCCGTTTAAAAAATAAATAAATAAAAATCTGATTTTGAAACTAAATGAAGACAGCAGAAGTCAATGATTAATTTTCATTATTTAGCCTGACATGTTGACTGTAACAACATAGTTTAAATGTTTCTCAAATAAAATATATTGTGTTCAAAAGGGAAAGTTATCTTTTTTTACCCAGACATTTTAAAAAATATATTTTAGAGCAGTAAACAATACCATGAAACTGTAATATTTTTATGCAAGGTTATCATACCATCAGAATTTAATACTAGCCCATGCCTACAATTGGTTATTACATAAAGCACACTGTACCTTTCCTGTCCAGCAGTGTCCCAGATCTGAAGGTTTGTTTTCTCTCCATCTACAAGCATCTTCTTAATTTGAAAATCAACACCTGCAAGATTCTCCATTATCACACTGTATTCATATGGTAACATTAACACACTTAAGAAAAAAAAATGGCATTGTTGCATCTTCTCACCAAGAGTGGTTTGTATATCCCCTCTGAATTCATTAAGACTCAACCTCAGTAAAAAGCTGGATTTTCCTGACCCGGCATCTCCAGCCAACACCAAACGGTACACTGGAGCCAGATCTTGTGTGTCAAGTAAATCTTCCTCATTTTGCTACAGAGAACAGTTGTATGATTAATCAGGTTAATGGACATCTACAGTATGCTTTCAAAATGTCAAATCTTTACATCTATCAATTTTATATGATTTGTAGGATGCCAATTGCTTTGTTTTAACATTAACATTTTGCCTTAGAAAACCTTTTTTGCCATTTTAGTTAAGGCATGATCTTTAACTGCAGGGAAAGAGCTAAACAAAATCATTTAGTGACTGAAAATATCAGCCATACATGTGAAGCAAAAATAACGTCCATCAATTGAGTCATGTCCAGTGGCAGTCATCCTTGAACCAATCTCCATCATTGTAAGCCGTTTGCTATTGCTTGTTCCATTGCTGTTTGTTAGAGGTTTGCTCCCACTTTTTGCAGTCTTAAGTGTATAAATTGCACAAAACTGCCATTTTGCAGCACAGGATGTCTAATCCTATTTTTGCATTGAATTCACAGATAAATCACCCGCGCTTTATCTGCTTGTCTGCATTAGCTGCAAAACAATCCCCAGATGTAATTTGAGAAACACTCAAATACATCAGGTGCGCTGCGTATGCAATGTCTATAATTTATGTAAAAATTAATTGTAAACTTAAATATTTTGTGGTATGGAAATGGATGTTTTGAGGTTTACATTTTTTGCGATTATTTTGCATTTATATTAAAAATTTAGCAGGATCGGGGAAGAAAAAAAAAAAAAACTGCACCTTTTGATTTGCATTGGATTTAGCGATCACAAAATTGCCAAAATCTATGGGGGTCTGTGTTTTAATCCTGACTATTATGATCATAACAAACATTCAAAGCACCTAACAATTTTTAAACTGCTTCAGTCTTTAACCAAACAGCATTTCTTAGTTCAATACTTAGACAAAAAGTCAAAGTATTAGGATAAGTTCACAGTTCAAATATACTTAGTAAATTACCTTTGAAAGTAATGAATGAGTCACTGAATCACTCAATCCAGCTGCCATTTATAGAAAATATATTGAAGCGAGTTATTCTGTATTATCAGTTTTAGAACCTCAAGTAAACTTTTCAGCAAGTTAGTTCCAACCAAGCAAATTTGGTTTAAAAGACATCTGACGTCAAAACATACAGATGTCTGCTAAAACAAGGCTAAACTCTCATCTTAAATATACTCCATGCACAATAATAATAATAATTCCAATAATAGTTTGGTCAAATAGAAAGACTTTATATGTAGTCATTAAATCCAGTCTATTTAATTACTAGGATATTTCTAGACTACAGTTAAACTGGCTAAAAGGCTAAATTTGGCTGTCAGTCAATCTATACACGTTTGGATGTCTATTAGACAATGCTTGCAGTTTATTCAAAACTTAAAAATAAAAAGTATTTCTTATACATTCAGAATCATGCAACTCCTAAATCAAATATTTACCTATTTTCAGATTAACTAAGAAGTAAACATGAATTACCTTGACAGGAAAAGCAGACAAACGCCGCCGAAGTGAGGATGATATGGAGCCAACTGTGCTACGAGCTACAGATCTCAAAGCTTCAGGCTTCACTTCTGACACCTACGAGACAAGATATTTAACAGAAATCTTGCTGTCTTTTTACAGTCACATACTGTACATCCATGTAGTGTGGAAACTAGTAAAAACTGACCTCCAGTTCAGAAGGGACACAGGAATAGCTGTGATGCACTGTCTCCACTGAATGATGGCTGTCGTCACTGTCATAATCAATACCTGACATTGCATCCATTTCTGACTGAACGGAAACACCGCTGTCCAAATACTTTTCAGCCCAGCACTTCACCAGGGCCAGAGTGTCCTCTTCATTAGTAAAACTTGATATTGATATAATAAGACACAAATGGCTTCTTAAGAAAATTATATTACAAAACATAAACAGACCTAAACAAGAAACCATCTGTGTTTACTTGTATTTGTTGCCGTTGTACCTTGACAGAAAAATACACAGTAAACAATGGAGATTATGATTACCTGCTCTGATTCATTGTACTCTGTCGAATCGGTTTCATCTTCCTGGGAAGAACTTCATTTCTTGGGGAGAGCTAAAAACAAAATAAGCTAATATTTTAATGAGAATAGCTATTGTGGTGTGTATTATAATGAATTCCAGACAAAGTGGTGTATTCCTGCAGGTTCAGATGACTGCAGAACCAATTGAGAAAAATATCAATAATAATAATAATAATAATAATAATAATAATCTACCTGTCTTTTGGTGGAGGCGTTCTCCTGGCTCAGAGCGGAGCGTAACCCATCATTGCTGTCATACAAAGATTTGTTCATTTCCCTGTTGAGAAGCAGAGAAGTTAAAACATTCATTCATTCCTTCTGAGCCAGATAAAGACTATTTCTTTCATTAGAACATCTGGTAACTCTGACAATTGCAAAGAACAACTGCAGTGACTTACTGGAGCATTTCTATATGGCTGGAATAAGACTGGAACTCCATCACCATCTTCTTGAGGTCATCACTTTCTCTTAAGCACGAACATAAAAAGCATCATAATACATTCAATATCTACTTTATTGCTTTCCAGAATTTACACTTCATAAAAAAAATTTAATTTTTTTATTTTTATTTTTATTTTTTAAATATATGACACTCAGAGAATTCAGTTCAGTCACTGCAGGGACGTTTAATTTTTCCTGTTGATATTTGGGCCTAAAATGACTGATTTTTCTCAAAACTTATGGCACTATTTTCTTTAACTCTTGTGATGTTCTATTGTTAAAACACACATCTTGTAAAATATTTCTTTTACAATGTCAAACAACATTGGACCAGGACTTCTGCAGGGGTCACTAAAATTAAGACCATGAGATTTTAGACGTATAAAGGGCTAAACATCAATGGATTCTTCAATTGGCCCAATTTGAAAAAAAATATTACAGTTTATTACATTTAATATAATAATAAATTAATAGTATTTTTTAATATATTGTAATACTTCTCAGCAAAATATATTAAATTAGTGTAAAAACAAGCAAGCTCTATTAGTATCCTTACCTTTTTTTTTACCGCCGACAAACTCCCTTTAAAATAAAATAAAATTTTTAAAAGTTAAACTATAAAAAAAATAAATAAATAAAAAAAATGTATGCACAACAATCTGTCCAGGTCAGTGTCCTCAGCAGTAAATACATGCAGCAATTTTAAACTAATGTTATTGTAGGGAAATTAAACCATTATCTTAGAGTTAAAAATCAAAATAAAGTTTAAAGTTTTGAGATTGATTGTTGGTGTTTGTATGGGTTTTGGCCAGATTGGGTAGCTATGTACAAATGAAATGACCAGTTAAAAAAAATAAAAATAAAAATAAATAAATACTACAGTACAACAATATTTCAGTAAATTTAAGACTTAATGTCTTAAATATTGTAATCAAAGTTTAAGGCCTTAAGACCCTGTGGACAAAATCTATGGAGGGGCCACCAGCTTTATGAATTCAATTTAAAATCAAATTCCTTTCAAGTGTTCACGCTTAGCTCATGATTGACAATAAAGAGTTTTATTTTTTTTTGAGGCTGCAATAAAATGCACGCTAGTTACACCGAACAAGCTAAATGCAGATTACTAATGAATTCTGACACCTAAAGTTTAGCTAGACATACGCCTTAAAGTAAAAAAGAAAAAAAAAAAAACAATGCTAACACGCCACTACTTTGGTGTTCAAGCATTTGTAAAATGCGTTCCATTGCAAAACTATGCATTGTCTAAAGTGTGTTTTAGGTTTTAATTTTATTTGAAATCCTGTCACATCTAATCAGCACAAATCCAATGAAATGAACTAAAGCATCAGTTCTGACCTCTCGTGTTGGCGTTTCTGATCAGTGAAGGCATTCTTTAACTTATCCAACTCAACCTGAAGAATGGAGACGTTCATCTGGGCTTTCATGAGAGAAGCCCTCAGCTCCTCATTCTCCTGCAGGAAGAGAACACACACAAAAAAGCTGACAATCACAGAAGTTTATTTGGTATTTAGAATATTGTATATATTGGAATAGAGGGGAGTAAGGTATGTCAGTATTGTAGACAAGTTGTAGTAGCTCCAAATAACTTTTCAGTATACTTTCCTTTGGTCATATACTGCATTTACATTACTGCTGTTTATTGAACCTAAGTGGACTGAACCTAAAACAATAAGGATTAATTTAATTGTGTGGCAAAAATTTAAAAATTAAATAATAATAAAAATAATAATAATAAAAAGGCATGTTACACACTCTCCCTTACATTTCCAAATATTTTAGAAACAATGGATGAAGAACAGATCTGGAAGTGGGAATACTTTGAGTCATACCTCCATCAGATCTTTAATCTGGGCTCTTAATTTGACTGAATCTTCCCTGGGGGTGTTTAACTTTGACTCCTCTTGATATTGCTAAAATTAGAGACAACAAAAACATCAGATCAAATGTACAAAGATGTAATGATATTAAAAAGGAGAGTACATAAAAAAAAAATAAGGTTCTATCTGCGTTCCGAATGATTAAGATACCGAGCTTCGAAGTTTTTGCATTCCATATAGCAAACATGTGTGTAACAGTTCTCTTTCATAAATTAACATGACAGAGACTCTAACGGTTCTTTAAAGTTATCAAATTATCAAAAGTTTCTACATTTGCAAATTGGAGTTAAAAAAAAAAAAAAAAAAAACATGATAAATGCTGAAAAGTTATTTTTTACTTGTAATTATAAGGTTCTATCTGCCAGATAATCCATTGAAGCATTAAGTTTCAAAAAATACCATTAAAAAAATATATAAGTTGGTGTTGTAACAATACGTTGATGCTTGAGTTACATTTTTGGCTTCTATAACATTGTTTTCGGATGAATATTTTTCGTTCAAATTAAGCATGCAAGGCCGAGCTACAAATTTTTTTCCAGTGCAGCTGTTAATTTTATCTAATTAATATGTTAATATTTTTTATATTTTATGCTTTGTACGAATTATACTTATTGAAGTATATGCCCAATGAATTAAAGTATTTGCCCTTAAAGGCTTAATATTAAAATTTAAAGACTTTAAAAGAAAGACAATGACCAAATGAGTTTAATAAGCACTAAAATGTGTTATACTGACTATGTAAACAAATAAATATATTTCACATTTAATCTATACATTTTTTAATATTCATTTCTTTTTCAACAATGTAAAATTTAACATTTCATCTCAATGTCTGAGACATATACGATCGCCTCACAATAAGAAGGTCGCTGGTTCGAGCCTCAGCTGAGTCAATTGGCATTTCTGTGGGGAGTTTGCATGGTCTCCCCATGTTCGGTCCAAATACATGTGGTACAGGTGAATTGGGTGAGCTGAAGTTGGCCATAGTGTATTTGTGTGATCGTGTATGGTTGTTTCCCAGAGATGGGTTGCAGCTAGAAGAGCATCCACTGCGTAAAACATATGCTGAATAAGTTGGCGGTTCATTCCGCTGTGGTGACCCTAGAATAATAAAGGGACTAAGCCGGAAAGAAAATGAATAAATGAATCTCAATGTTAATAAATGCTTCTAATTCATCACACTTACACACATCTCAATTTTGTGTGCTGCGGCATCATTTGGCTGACTCTGATTTTGTCTTTCTGGTGTTTCCCGCTGTCAATGGAGCAGTCCAGCGAAATAACAATGGAAGAAAGCAAAGAAAGCTCATCCTGATTGGTTCTCGTGCGTGCATTAAAAATGCTGATTGGCTCACAGAAAGAACCTTATAGAGCCAAGCTAGAGTTCGACTTTGTAGATAAAACCTTTTTTTGTTTTTAAATAAAGTCTTAAAATGTAAACAAAAGGTGAAAAAAAAAAAACACAATGTAAAAAAAGTTGTCTTTTAATAATAATAATAATAATAATTTAAAAAAAATCAACTCAATTTTGACAAATGTCAGATAGAACCTTATTTTAAGGTGATAAATTCACAAGCCGGTTTGAATTTCTTTTTTTGGTTAAAAAAAAAAAGATTCTGAAGAAAGCTGGAAACCGATAATCTTCCATAATATTCGTTTTCCCTACTTAAGTCTATGGTTTCAAGCTTTCTTCAAAATTACTTTTAGCTCCAGCAGAAAAGGGAAATAGTAAATGAAGATCATTTTTATTTTTGGATGAACTACCCTTTAAAATTTTAATCACTTAAATCTCACCTTTGTGAGCCTTTCTATAGTGGTTTGCAGGTCTGCCAACTCATTCTCATGTTTTATTTGAAGCATAGCAATGGATTCATCCAACTTCTTCTGCTCCTGCATGTAGGAAACCCAAGAAGTGTTTTTCTTATATGCACAGGCCTAATAAAGAGGCATTTACAAGCGCTCATAGAGAAGTCTTTGTGCACACAGGTCAGAGTGGCCTTCCTGTTAAAAAGAAAAACTCACTGGGCTACAAGAATGAACGTGAAGCTAAACCTGAAATTCCACTATTTACAAGACAGAATAAAACTAATTCAAATCTCATGATCATTTATTTCATCAATTAGTGTCAAGATAAAGACATTTCTAAAAGCTAATAGAAATGAAAAGTAAAAAATATCATCATCATCAACCTAAAATTGCCTTGGCAAATACTTAAAATGTAATAGAAATAATTTCTAAAATTAGTTAATAAAACAACAAACAGTAAAGAATTATGGCCTTGGCAACTATATAGACAATACTTCAAGTAATAACAACAACAAATCACCACCAATCATATTACACACTAAAAAAAATATATATATGTTTTTAATATGGTCCAACTAAAATGTTATAAATTACTAAAAACACATTAGAATAGCCCTAAAATATATTAAATCAGAAATATTACTGCTTATGGTTGCATTATTTTTCATAATATTCAATAGCTATCCATAAATATGCCACACCACAATCAGTGTGGACAAGCAAACAAATTTGTCTGGCTCACCTCTTCTCGGACCCTTCGTTCTGTGTGGATCAGCTGCTGCTGCAAGTCCTCCTCCATCTCTGCTAGCTGACTGCTAGACACTTCCTCTGTCCTATTCACATCAAAATAAAACTTTCATAGTAAAGCTGCAACTTTAAAGTCTTTTCATCCAGAAAGTGGTTTAAAACCGTCAGTCTAGGTGTTAGGATATCCTTTAATGCATCTGGGTGCACTAACACCCGGACCTCAAAAAAAAAAAAAAAAAAAAAGGTTCCCCTGGAGAGATGAATAACTCCTTTAAGCTACACAGTGTTATCGGATTCATCAAGCAGGCGCAGTAGAGTAAACCTCTGACTAAAGGGAAGGGAGGATCGAAGGTAGGGCTCTTGAGAACTGCTACAACTGTGTGAAGTGGATCTGAGGTGAAACAAACAGCCTCACGCTAAACACACAGGCCTGGATTGTGTCTCACTGTGAAAACAGAGCACTGAAATGGTGTCCACGCCTATAGAAAGAAATGCATAAATAGTTGTGAAATGGGAGCACAAGCTTAGTAACTCAACCTTCTGTGTTTTTACATTTTTATTTCCTCCTTTCATAAGAATAAAGGTTTTAGAATTGGAATCCATTAAGTGGTTAAAAAAAAAGTTCCTGAACAGGAATAAAAACCAGGTCAGTGAAGTTAAAAACTAATGTGGATCCATTAATGTTATTTAGTACAATACAGCATTGCACAGCTCTTTAAAATTCTTAAAGACCCTCACAACTTCTAAAGGTCCATAAAATGACGTTTAATATGCAATCTGCTTTAATATTTTTCTGGGAAAACAGAAATAGACAGTTTGAGGTTACAAATTAAATGTTTGGTATAGTAAGTTTAAGGCATATGACCAAATAAAATATTTAGAAACACTTTTTATGAGATACTGGTGAGCATGAAGTCAACTGTAAACAGGAACTTTGTAAAAGTTTTGTAGTAGTAGTAAAAAGCAATTGGCAGTTCATTCCACTGTGGCAATCCCTGATAAATCAGTGACTGTGGCAGGATTTCAGTCAAATTGCTTCACTTGCTAACTCTCTCAGTCCCCAAACAGTTTAGCACTTGGGAACTACACTGTTGTGACATCACAACTGCATTGTATTCTGGGTCAGTTGTTCAGTTGATGAAGCGGAATGCACTTTAAAACAGCAGAGGGGATTCCCATAAGGAACAAGGGAAGGGAAGTTCACAAGTGTGTGTCTAGAAGTGGACTGGAACACAGCCTAAGCTGAATGAAAGCGAGTAAAGCAAATATAAGGGGAAACAAATCTGCGCATTCATTCAATAACGAAAAAAAAAAAAAAAACAGCTGAAACAGTAAGAAACATCTGACCATAGTAAAATGGATGATTGCACAAGCTCTGCAATTCCCTGACATCATGTCAATAGGTGCGGTGTACTTTTACGAAAGCTTGACAAAATATTGAGCCTATAGTTTATGTAGATCTAGTTGAGATACATTGACATTAAATGTACAGAATAGCTCTCTTAGAATAGCCCATATCATTAACCCATGTGCATGCAGACTTTACATCCATTAGATTTTTCACCGCATTAAAAAAAAAAAACCTGCTCTTAAGGAGAACAAAAAAAACTGTCTATTTAAAATGTGCATCTACAGGCTTTTACAGAAACTAAATTTGTGGCACTTTAAGCTTTACAATGAATGCCTGTACACTTGTATATATTCACAGCCCCTTTAATCAGATGCAAACTTTAAATCTACATTATAATTGTCTTTGTTACATTCAACAGAACTCCTTCAGAAATAATGTTCATAGATGAGTTAAAGTATTCAAAATTTATCATGGTAGTTTGAAGCAAAGGTTGAAAGTCATCGAAGCCAAACAAGACCACTGAAGCAATTGCTGATGAGAAACAAGTGTAATGTGGCACGAAAACAGCAGAGCTTTCATAATGAAATAGACCTCTTCATGATCACGTGGGGAAGCAGCAGCACTGTTTTATCATTCAAAATACATTTTAGAGTTATAATGCTGCTCTCTGTTGTATAATAAAATGCACTTTAGTGTTTCTCTATTTTCTATAAAGCCAAACAAGAAATTAAGGATGTATGATGTTATTAGCATGACAACACAGTGTCACTAACTAAAACAGCTTTTTTTACTGAATGTAACATTCTTGTAAACATTTGGGGTAAGTGTTTAAGTCAGTAAAATGTTTTAACACTTTATTTTTTTTTTACATTAAAAAAAAAAAAAGAAAAAAGCTACACGTTGTGCCTTTAAACTGCATTGAGAACTCTTTGACCACATCAATCTAAAAGTCAAACCAACCAAACGATTTTTGAATCAATGGCAAACCCCCTTAAATTCTCCCCTCACCTCCGCAGACTGGTCTCAAGCTGTTCACTCTCCATTCTGTGCTCTCTGATCTCAGTCACAAGAGCCCTGATGAGATCCTCAAACTGCTGCAGTAACAGCTCATCTGATGTAGAGTGGATCCCTTCATACAACTCACTTAGTGCATCCCACTGTCTGCAGACATGAGAAGGGGGGGGGGTAAAAAAAAAAAGAGGCTGAATGAAAAAACAACAAGAATACATAAAAGAAAAAAAAAGAAAAAAATTACTAAAATCACTTTAAATGTTGACTATTGCATACACTGTATACTTTCGAAGGGACAAAAAAGGTTTCTCATTGACAGGAACTATTCAGACCCTAAAAAAGCAAGCTTAGTTATTTGCAAAACATTTTTTTTTTTGCTCTGGCATTGTTAAACATTGACACCAATCATTCTTCTAAGAGCACAGTTTAGCCAAATATGTAAATGTGCCAAACACTTTCCTTTCAGTAGCGAAAATGGCATGGATGTGTCTGTACAAGCTCTGCAATTTCTTGACCTAATGTCAACAGGGGTGGTTTTTAAAATCATCCTAATGACAGCTTGATTAAAATGTTGAGACTAGATTATGTAGATCTAGCTTCTATGTGAGATGTAATAACATTACTGTACAGAATAGCTGTCTCAAAAGAGCAATTCCATGCAAATGTCAACCTTGCAATGAAAATTATGTTTTGATCAAAATAGTGAAACCCTTCTTAAGTCTTTTTTTTTTTTTTTTTGTAGGCTTGTGTTTTGCAGTAGTGTAATAATACTCAAATGTCACCGTTTTTAAACAATAATCTTTGATTTACCAAAGTCACAAGTGGCAAATGTAAAACAAAATTAAATCAATTTTTGTTTTATAGAGAGCCAACTATTATCCTTTTAATTAGCATCGTTTAATTTGGGTTTTGCAGTTTAATTCACAGAATTTCTACATAGCATGTTGTATGTGTATTGATGTGTGTCTGATCACTTATCTCTGTGGTTAGTTGCTTTAGAAAAAAATAAACATGCTTTAATACATGTTCACATACTTTCTCGGTGGATTTATGTTTTAAGATTTTACTGCAAAAGTCTCATCCATAACGCTGGAATAGGTTATAGTAGGCCTATATAGCAGTTAATTAATTTGCCAAAAACCCAGAAAAAAAATAATAAATCTACACTTTCAAATTATGAAACTAGAAAATCTGACATCATAACCTTGTTTTCAATGTTCAAGGTAACGTTAGCATTAACTACACTAAAATAAATCACGGTGTTCACTTATTAACGAAGCCAAAAACAAAAAAACAAAAACTGACTAGTGTGCCTACAAAATATATTTTAGGAAGTTTATTGCCTTAAAAATTTTAAAATTAAGCTATCGCCACTGACCCAGTTAGACTGATTAGATTAACACTTTTCTAGTTTGTTAGTAAATGTTGCTTAAAAATTGTGATTTTGAACTTTACAATTGAACACACACCTTCCCAAATAAAAGGCCACATCTCCGTCCAGCGTGTTTTCAAACTCATCCCAAGCTCTTCTCTGACTATGCAAACAGTTTCCCAACGAAGCCAGATTGAGGGCTTCCGAAACTTCCTGAAAGCTTGACGAAAAGTCGTTAAAATTGATATATCCGTCTCCGTCCAGGTCAAACTTGTTGAATAAAGTCCTGATGTCGTCCGCGGGGACATTAAGCTCTCGGCAAACAGTAGTGAAGTCCTCATACTCGACTCTTCCTGACTGATTCCCATCACATGCTGCGAAGAGTCTTCTGAGCTCAGCGTGGTTCATCTTTCCACTCGACGAGGACAAAAGATTGAAAAAAAAAGTTATTCACACCCGTGTTATAAAGATACCACTCCAGATAGAACAGGCTGAAGTGATAAAACGAAAAGATGAAAAGACGAAAGCGTGAAGAGAAATGAACGCGAAGCTATCGTGGTCCGACATGTACATCACCAACAGGTGCGCCGAAAGCTGAAGCTAAAATCCGACGCAGGTTAGTTGAAGGCTTAAGTGATTGGATGATCGCTCATTAGCTATCTCGCCGTGTAACAAGTTGAACTCTTTTAGTGTGTTATTGGATAGCAGTGGAGGTGGTAGGCGTGCTTGAGTAAAAAACCAGCCCATAACACTTGTCTCTCAGCCTGACCATGAGAACAAATAGATTGTCAAACCAGCCCATATACTGAAACCCATCAGTTACTTTTAGGATAATCTAGGAATACTAAAATGATAGCATAAGAGGGTACTTACATAATAAACTTGTGAGTAATTTGTGTTGCTTTTCATAAACAGTGCTGGTACGACAGTTGTAGTCTGGTTATGCTAAAAATTCTATTTAACAAAAACCTTATAATTATGTATGAGTTTTAGATTACTTTTAACTTGCTTACTTTATATGTTATAAAAAGAATTTATTTCACGCAAATAGCTATACAGGAACAACACATGGCCATAATATTCAAAGCAAAATAGGCTAATTATTAGACACTTAAGACATTTATTCCCACTGCCATTGTTTTTTTTAAATAGGATTTTTTAAAGTGTATTTATGTGTTGTTTGTGTGTGAGCCTGTCTAAAGGCATTTTTCTAACCCCTGTGGGATAGACAGTGAAGCTCAGTGAATTGAATTGAGCTGAACTGAACTGAACTGAACTGAACTGAACTGCACTGAATTGAATTGAACTAAATTGAATCGAATGGAATCAAATCGAGTTGAATTAGGTAGACATCAAAATTTATGAGGAAAAAAATTATGAAAATTTTGATGAGAACATTTTGTAATCCAATGAACATGTACATGTACAGTGATTAATTTTCTTTTCAGCTTAGTCCCTTTACCAATCCGGGGCCTCCACAGCGGAATGAACCACTAACCTATCCAGTACATTTTTTCTTACGCAGTGGATGCCCATCACTGGGAAACATCCATACACACTCATCCACACTCATACACTTTGGACAATATAGCCTACCCAATTCACCTGTACTGCATGTCTCCGGAGCACCCGGAGGAAACCCACGTGAACGCAGGGAGAACATGCAAACTCCACACAGAAATGCCAACTGACCCAGCCGAGGCTTGAACCAGCGACCTTCTTGCTGTGAGGTGACAGCACTACCTACTGTGCCACTGTGACGCCAGTGATCAGTTATTAAAAACTAAAAGCAAAACAAAAATTATTTTAACTTCAAACAACTTAAAAATGCTATAGTGTAAAAACCTGATTAATTTGCTACACATATACTTTTTAATAATTTCCTGGTTTCTCATTATGTATTATGTAGAATATTTACAATATAGTTTTTCTGATGCACCTGATGTTGTCAAATTAGTGTTTATTGCATTGGTGTGAGGTGTTTCTATAATGATGTTTAGCTGTGTGAAAAAACTGGGGAGATTCTTTTGGTTCATCACATGACTTTCTTGTCAACACAAATTTATGTTTACAATGTAGAGTCCTCTCTCCACTAACATTGCATTGCACCTTTGGTAAATATGAGTTAAGAATTATGTGAAAGATGCTTTGCTATGTTTGCCATGCCTTTTGATCTTTTGCTCCAAAAAAAAAAAAAAAAAAATGTAAACACATGAGTTTGTTTGTGGAAAGTAGAGACTTATTTTTGTGAAAGCCTTTTCAACAATCTGAGACGATGTAAGTGATGACGAATTGTAGTTCTGGAGGCTTTCTAATTGGAAGACTTAAATAACTGACGTTGTCCACTTGAACCCTCCCCTTAAAGGTGTGTTGGGGCAAAATAGACACCTGCGGCTCTGTCTTCCATAGTGATTCATAAAATGTGTAGTTGACTGTAATTTCTTAATTTTTGCTCTGTAGGTGCAATTGGACATTTTTACATTTTTTTCTTCTTACAGCCAAATCCCAACAACTTACAGATGTAAATCCCAACAAACTTTTGCTATATTCTTATCTACTGTGATAAATAAGTGAGTTTGGCCTGTGTGTTTACAGCCTCAGTTTCACAACAGAAAATAATTGGTTGAAAAAAAATCTATTTGATTATTCTTTAAAATGTTTATATAAATTCAAAATGACTATAATTGAGGCACATTTATTTATTTACTTATTGATATTATTTGCATTTGTTAACTTATATGTTAGCTTCGCTCACTCATGAACAAACCCCCAAGATACTTGAACTCCACCAGGGGTATGGACTTTCTTTCAACCTGGAGATGGCAAACCATTATGGCCTCGGAATTGGAGGTGCTGATTCTCATCCCAGCCACATCACACTTGGGAGCAAACCTCCACAGTGCATGCTGAAGGTCCATGTTTGATGAAGCCAACAGAACAACATCGTCTGCGAATAACACAGATGAAATTCTGTGGTCGCAGAACAGGCGGATTGGTGCAGCGGCAGCAATAATGTGGTCGATGTATAGTCCGTTGTGGTAAAGAAAGAGCTGAGCCGAAAAGCAAAGCTCTCAATTTACTGGTCAATCTATGGCCCTACTCTCACCTATGGTCATAAGCTTTGGTCGATGACTGACTGGACATTTCCTAGTGATGGGTTGCAGCTGGAAGGGCATTTGCTGAGTAAAACATATGCTGCATAAGTTGGTGGTTCATTCTACTGTGGCGACCAGTGGTGCAGTAGTGTTGCCTCACAGCAAGAAGGTCGCTGGTTCGAGCCTCGGTTGGGTCAGTTGGCGCTTCTGTGTGGAGTTTGCATGTTCTCCCTGCGTTTGCGTGGGTTTTCTCTAGGTGCTTCAGTTTCCCCCACTGTCCAAAGACATGCTGTACAGGTTAATTGGGTAGGCTAAATTGTCCATTGTGGATGAGTGTGTGTGGATGTTTCCCAGAGATGAGTTGCAGCTGTAAGGGCATCCGCTGCTTAAAAACATGCTGGATAAGTTGGCGGTTCATTCCGCTGTGGCAACCCCAGATTAATAAAGGGATTAAGCTGAAAAGAAAATGAATCAATGAATTATATAACCATTTATAATCATTATTTGGTAAAATATATTCATAAAATTGAATGTAACCAAAATGACATCACTGGTTGCGGTCATGTTGACGTACAGTAGTTTGTGCTGTGGTTTCATTTTGTCAATTGTGCTAATACTTTATTTCCCTTCCGGGCGTAGACTGTTCTTTATCTGCTGAAGGACATTTACCTGCCTTTGTTTGGTAATGTCCACACCACAAACTTGGCTAAACCCATCTTTCATTTTTATTCCTTCCATTCCTTTTTTTAAAAATCTGAATTGCAGACAGGTTATGTTGTCATAAATAGTAATAGTAAAGAAATTCAGTAAAACTGAAAAAGTAAGCAAATAACCTAATGGCATTCCTTCCTGATTTGTACCTTATGTTATTTTTATATCTCTCTGTGTCATTGTGCAAACAGTGCACCGCACCTACGTCTTAAACTGACTCAAGTGTTTACAGGATTCAGTCATAGTCACTTTTTGCTGCATCAGATAACACAAACACACATATAAAAGGATTAGCACAATTATTGACTTTATCATAATTGTATATGAGCATTGCGTTGATGTAACTATGACAATTAGTGTTTGTTGCTTTATTTAACCTGAATGAAACATGATCACACCAACTGTGGCCTAGTGGAGTAAGAGAAGATGACAGTTCTTTTTATCGACAGGTGGTTGTAAAGAGGAATTGTTTTTGTTTTGGACTTATTTAATAATGATTGCTATATTCTGAAATATTTCTGGAATTTATGACACTTTATAATTTATCTCTGCCAGCCAAATCCTTCAATTGTGTTATAAAGAGCTTGTCACCAAGGTATGTGCTTTTATTTACAACATTTCTTTACTTTACAATTATGCCTAAACTTTTTTTTTTGTAAGGAGTGTCTTTTTTGATTAAAAAAAAAAAAATGCAACAACAGAAATTTCAGATGATTGTTACATTATTTTGTATATACCTATCCAAGATGTACATTTTTCTGGACCAATTTTTCCTGAAAGTATTAAATGGAAGAGAGAAAGGTTATTACCTGAAACATTCAGCATATCAAACAAAATAAGAGATACATTTAAATATTTTGCATATTGTATATCCTACAAATTCCCAAATTGCTAATTATTTTGATATATCTAATGTGTGTACTTTCAGCAATATACATAAAGAAACTTTATAACTTCCAGAAGTTAAACTTCTTTGGAATAACATTATTTTTTATTTATCATCCTTGTTTAAATATGATTTAAACTTGTCTAAAAGAAATACATATTTTTTTTTTGTATTTCTCAGATAATGATCATGCTCTTCGATCTTATTGTTAATTTTGTTTGTGTTACTTTGTACATTTTTTTATACACAAAAATAAGTTCCTAAAGGCAATACCTGAATTTATTACTTTTCTTGCTGAAATTTCATTCAATATTGAATCTCTTGAGCTAATTAATAATAAGAACAATACGTTTCTTAAATATGATCTTTTTTGTTAATGATTGAGACTTTGTAAAGTTTTTTTTCTCTCTTTCCTAAATTTTTTCTATTTTTTTTTCTTGTATTTATTATTTTTTAAGTAAAAAAATAATACAAAAACAGAAGATGTCTTTTACCCACAGTTGCCACACGATGGCAGCATTATTAATATAAGTTTAGAGCTTGCAGTCAGAAAATGGAAAGTGAGAGTTATATGTTTGGGAATGTGAAGAAATGCACTTTCATGTAAAAGAAAGCCCAAGAAACCTAATCTGGCCATTATTATTGGTATGGAATCTAATTCAAAGGTCTACGTTTTAAATTTACTAAATTCATTGACTGAAATATTATTCCTTGCAACAATAGTTAAGGTACAGTATTATAATACAGTATATGAAAACACAAATGTAAAAAAACTAAAATTTACATTGAATTAAATACTAAATACATGTGATTTAAAATATTTTGTCTTAAATCTATGAATTTGTCAGCATAACGTTTTTAAAATATAAAATATATTAAAACGTATTGTTATTATCATTACTTATTTTATTAA